CCTGGATGATCGCTTATTGGAACTATGATGAAACACTAACGAGACGAAAGCTCACAAGTGGTCTTTTCCGACGAGGTTGACTAATATTGCTTTTCATTTGCGTTAATGCTGACAAATCCCCATCGTTTTTCCTTTTCCTTACTGGTACCCTAGATAGTTTCGAAATATTCTTGACGCGACGTTGCTCGAGCTTCTCCACACTGTAGGTCTTTAGTCCATTTACTAACTTTTCCCAATGACCGTTTCCGCCGAATTCTCTGCACTGGGGGTTGAATGGTGTTTAGTTAACGTGTTCTTTAATTTTGGAATTTAATGTTACCCCTTTTATTTCAGTTAAAGCTTATTTCGCTTTTGAAAAGTTGAGGATGGCAAGACGAACTGCACTTTCCTACTGGTCTAATTGCTTCATTTGTTGCTCCTTTCCTTTTATAACTACCTGACACTTATCAGGTAGCCAATCTGTCCCGGATGGCTTCTCGTCTCCAGTCTATGGCCTCTCATGTATTCCTTGAAGAGACTACGCGCTCTTCTGATTCCAACCAGGCGACCACGCATTCGCTTGGCTCCCGGTCCTCTTCTACTGGTCCTTCATCCACCATGCACTTTTCGCCCACTCCTACTGGTACCGGTGGCGGTGGCTGTGGAGATCAGCATTCTGCTGGTGGTCCTTCCTCTATGATGATGATGATGCATCGGCCAAACCAGCAGTCACAACCTCCAGGACGCCGAATGACACCTCCGCCCATGCCATCGGCTGGCGGTCCAGTGACGTCTACCTCAATGTCTACAGCCTCATCTTCGTCAGCTCTCTACCCGATAGCAACCGTGATCCCGGGAGCTCCTCTGATGAGCAGTCAGGCGATCGCCGCCGGCAATGCGGTTGTCGGCAGTGGAGGCCTTGGCGGCGGAGCTTGTAGTGGGCCAAGCAGTGGTCACAACACTCCACGTGGACCGGGAGGTCTAGGTCCACTGGCTAGGTCGGCCCGTTCGGGTGATCCTGAGCTGCGCTCCCTGACCGATATCACAAAGGACGATTTAGTGAGTTTTAGCGATATACGATTATTCGAGCCTGAGCAAATATGACGGTATAAAATGATATTTCCGGCGATTAGCAAGTCTAGGTAAAAAGGATACCCAATTATTCAGGAATGATGAGTAAGTGGACATGCTTAAGTGTGCTCTGCCGGGCATAT